GACTTTTGAAAAATGTTTAGCAAGTGCTATCCCAATGCCATCCACAAGTATGTGGGGTATCTGGGGGAGGTTAAAGTTCACAACATTTTTGGTGAAACCAAAAACTGAACAGAAGTAAAACTGTGTTTATGGAATCAAAAATGGGAAAAAATTAAATCTGAACATTTTAAATATAGGTGTAATTTTATTTTTAAATTCTGGGAAGGTTGTTACATCTGCTAATGACTCCCTTTTCATTGTATTTTGCAAAGCTAACTTACAAACCAGAAATATTCAAAGTAGGTTTCTTTTAACTATATAATTGTTAACTTTTCAGCTTAAACCATAATTTTAAAAAAATACCATCATTGCCAAAAATAGTAATTTACCAAAGATTTTGTTTAGTACTAATCATGATGTGGTTATTTATATAGGAACTTATGTGAGATTTAGACCTACCTGACTTCATCATACCTTTTCATGAGAATAAGCTAAACAACACACACAGACATATATCCATTTACCTATATAAAGGGTGTTTCATTAAGATGGATTATATATAAGGGTGTTTCATTAAAACAGATCAAAGTCATGCGGTAAATAAATCAGTGTTATTGGTGAAAATTTATTTATTTCTCTATTGAATCATGTTATTTAAGTCATGGCAATTATGTGTGAAAAATCTGAAAGAAAAAGAAAAAATTATTAGACGCTTAAACTTAATTCACATTTAAAATTGGTCCAAGTTATTGGAACACCTTTTTTATTCACACTCCTCCCTGGTCTTTTGAACAGAAGTAAAGGTTTATCCCTTATCTACTGTTTAAGATTGGGCTTCCAGTTCCTTTTACAGTCTTTTTCATTCTCTTTCACTCTCAGTAGCCCCTTCTATTTTAGTGGTATTATCACCTTGCTTGGAGTGAATTGATTTAATATATATATATATATATATATATATATATATATATATAGGTACATGAATTGATGCAAGTGTCTCTATGACATTTTTATCAAGTTATTATGCTTATATAACATTATTATATTAACATTATTATCAATATTTGTTTAAGAATTATTCACTTTTTACACTATGTATGTGTACACATATATACATACATGACTGTATTTTATGGATAAATATATAATTATTTTATTTTGAGGAGGTTTCAAGCCTCAAAAACATATCCAACTTTTACTTGCAAAATTTAAAAAAAAAAAAGATTAAGCATAAAATTCAGTAAAATAATAAATGTAACCTTTAACCCATAGGAAGCAGGAAAAAATTCTCAAAATTATTTCAGGAAAAATGAGACAAAATTATTATCAGATTTGGAAAATCAGAAAAGATTTTCAGGCAAAAAACATGGAATAGGTGGTTATAAGTAAACGTTTCTTTTTTGTCCATTAATTTCACCTGTGCTATTTACATTTTTTTCTCTATATCTGCACATCAACAATATTTAATAACACACATCATTTGGCAACTGAAAATTTATGAGAAAAAATTAATGCAACTCAGATAGAATTTTCAAATACCGCTTGTCTTGATCTTCAATATATCTTACACTTATTTACTTGCTTAGAATCATAGTTTTATAGTTAAATAATCAGATAAAAGGATGACATCACTGATGTAGTTAATAGACAATAACTACTTCAGTGATGTTATCTCTTAAAGAATGAAGAGCCATTTATCTTTTATAATGAAGATGGTTGTTTTGTTTTATAATCTAGAAGGCGACTTTTGTAAACTGAAGATGGCACTTTTTTATAATGAAGATGGCCACTTTTCTTGGATAATGAAGATGGTCATTTTTCTTGGATAAGGAATATGGCCATTTCTCTTGGATAAGGAATATTTCTATTTTTATTAGTTAATGAAGATATCCACTTTTCTTGGATAATGAATATGACCACTTTTTTTGGATTATGAAGCTAAATTTATGAATAGTAAATTCAATTTCTGTTGTAGTTTTTCCTATAACAATGTAGTGCTCCTGTATCAGGCTAAGTTACTTTTAGTAAATAACATTTGAAAGAATGCAAAGATGGTTACACTCTTGTGTCTTAGTGGCATTATTACCTTGATTGGAGTGTAATGATTAAAAAAAACTTCTGAAATAAATAAGATACAAGTAACCATTATTTAATATTTAAAAAATAAAACAAACTTTAAATTTATTTTCATTAACATGAATATTTTATTGTTAGATTCTATAAAGGAAAAGACAGAGAAAAGATAAAAAATATAAATAATTGTGTATTCTGTAAGCAAAAATATACTTGATAATATTAAGTTTTCAAAAATAAGTAGTTTTGTTGAATTCATTAAAAGCATTGTTTAAGATATAAAAGAGATTGATATAGTATAAAAGATAAATTTAGTTAGATTTGCTTAATAACTTGTGAAGGATTTACAGAAAAATAAGTTTTATTATTGACTTCTTGATTTTTTTATGGGTAAGAATTAAAAAAAAAGAAGATTAAAACAAAAGATTAAAAATAAAATATTGCAAAAAAATGTTGAAGAGAATAAATTAACAATAGTTCATGGATAACAATTTCAATGTTTTTTAACCTCCCAAAATTTTACATTTTTTCCGTTGATAATGGTTGTGAGAATAAAGAATTTGTTTAAGTGAATGAAATGAAATGGAGCCCTTTCAGAATTCACTCCAAGAATCTGTATTCTGAAATATATATATATATATATATATATATATATATATATATATATATATATATATATATATATATATATTTTGAATAATAAAAATATCTAAAAATTAAAATTTTCAGACACACTGGTTTGTATATTAATATTTTTTTTGTTTAATTATTTCAATTAGGTTCCTCAAATAGTTTCAGCCAGCATGGCCATCATCAGGAGAAAAATATCCCTGCTTGTTAGTAGCCATGAACTACAGAAGTGAATGACTGTTTCAGAAGAAAATCAACTTTATCTGTAGTTTTTATTTGTTTTTTTTTTGGTTTTTTATCATTGGTCAGTCCTTGTGTTGGTCAAAAGGCTTCTTTCAAGTTGTTTTTAAGATAGAGGATGGGAGATTGCTGACTTTAAGAATTCTCTCTTTGGTCATTTTGACAGTTTTATTGGTTGCTGGGAATGGGATGTGTGTGTTAAGTGTATGTTATCTTTTAGTTCTTTGAGTGTGTGTGATATGTGTATGTGTATATATTTATGTGAGTGTCTGTATAAGTGTGAGACCTCAACACCTCTGCAAGCATGTCTGTCTGGTGTGGGTGAGAAATGTAGGTAGGTCTTGATTTATAGGGTTATATATTAATTCTATCTATGTTGTTAAATTTGTGGTTAAGCCCAGCTGGACAAAGTGTTTTGAGGTGCAAAATTCATTTGTTCCTCTAGTATTTTTCTAAGGTTATCTTTTCTGTCTATTTCTATTTTTTCAATTATAGTGAATTTGCATGGCTTTTAAAATCATGTTTTTCTAGGCAGAAATGTTGTTCTACAGGTAATAATCTTTTATGGGGAACCAACTTGATTCTATTCTGATAATTATTAATTTTATTGTGAAAGGACCATTCAGATTTTCCCACATATTGTATCTGGCATAGTGTGCATTCTGGGAGGTAAATTATGTTATGACTTCTACAGTTAGAGTTGTGGTATATTTTGAGAGTAGATTTAGTGAATGAGCTAGTGAATGAATTGGTATGTGTGTTTATATATATATATATATATATATATATATATATATATATGTGTGTGTGTGTGTGTGAAGAAATATAGTTTTAAGATGTTTTATATTTATGGGATAAAGTGCTCAATATCAGAGATAGAGCATATGTAAATGTTGAAACTTGACTAATGCATGGAATAATAATGCAACACAAAATGTACTTAGAACAAACTGTATTGAAACAAGAAAGGGTACACAATATTTACATATAGTCTTTTGTATATTCCTGGTAAGACCGTTCCTGGAGAATGTGTTGACTGAGTCGCAGTCGGGCAGAGTCTCTGGTTGAATCTCTTGATTCCTCCCCTCTCTTCCCAGTACCAATCATATTTATATGGTCGGTACTCCACTATGCAAATTAGGTGGATCCTACCACAACAGTAAATATAAATATAAAAGTGAACATTGAAGTCAACACTCAGAGGCGACAGGCTGTTTCATGCTAGACGCAATCGTCAGGCCTGACAACTGCATCTAGCATGAAACAGCTTGTCACCTCTGAGTGTTGACTTCAATGTTCACTTTTTATATATATATATATATATATATATATATATATATTTGGGACCATGTAACATGTAAAATAGATTTGGTGAGGGTCTATGAAAACCTTACACCAGCCCTGGCTATGGGGATGCTGAAATGTTCTCAGCCAAGAAAATGACTTAATGTGTGTAATATTCATATCCATGTTCAATACACATGGCAGATATTTTTTCAGGTTTCTTTAAAATTTCCAAAATTATTTTGAGCAAATGGGTTAGGCATTATGCAAAAGTGCACTTGAACTAAATTAAAATCAGAATTTTGTTTCAAACTTTTTTTTCATAACAATATATCTTACAGAAATTGTAATCTTGTCTATTAAATACTTTGACTATTTGATAATAAAATATATAATTTACAAATTCAAACATTTTATCTTGAATTTTTAAAGAGTTATTTTCAACTTTTAATGTAAATAAAATCTGTTCAAATAATTCAAAGAAATATTAAACCAAGTTCTTATTTGAAGAGCAACATTTTTTTTAAGACTTGAGACTGAGAATTTAAACCTAAAATAAGTTGTTATGATTTTTTTTATCATAGAATTTAAGCTGAAGAAAGGTTAGGTTTATAAGTACATTTGGAATGATAGGTGTAAAAAAATTTTTATGGTCTATGGAATTTATTTACACTTGAATATTTAAAGCTGAAGGTGTAAAGAGAATGTTTATGGAGCTACAATGACTGCAAGGTGTATGGAAATTATGTAGGTAACATGGAAGGTAACAGGGAAATATGAAGTGTTGTGCATATTTCATGCCCCCAGCCTACTCTTTATTTCTTTTTTTCTTTCTATTATTTCATTTATTCCCTTTTCTTTTTCTCCACTCCTTTTGTTTCATTTATTCCTTTTTTCTTTCTTTCTTTCTTTCTTTCTTTCTTTCTTTCTTTCTTTCTTTCTATTATTTCATTTATTCCTTTTCTTTTTCTTCATTCCTTTTGTTTCATTTATTCCTTTTTCTTTCTTTCTTTCTTTCTTTCTTTCTTTCTTTCTTCACTTTTCTTTCTTCACTTTTCTTTCTTTCTTTGTATTATTTCATTTATTCCTTTTTCTTTCTTTTATTCCCTTCTCTTTCTTTCTTTCTTTATTTTTTCTTTCTATTATTTCATTTATTCCCTTTTCTTTTTATTCACTCCTTTTGTTTCATTTATTCCCTTTTCATTCTTTCTTACTTTCTTTCTATTATTTCATTTATTCCTTTTTCTTTGTTTCTTTGTTTCTTTCTTTATTCACCTTTCTTTCTTTCTTTCTTTCTTTCGTTCTTTCTTTCTTTCTTTGTATTATTTCATTTATTACTTTTTCTTTCTTTTATTCCCTTCTCTTTCTTTCTTTCTTTTATTCTCTTTCTTTCTTTCTTTCTTTCTTTCTTTCTTTCTTTCTTTCTTTTATTTCATTTATTCTCTTTTCTTTCTTTTATTCCTTTCTCTTTCTTTCTTTTTTACTTTCTTTCTATTATTTCATATATTCCCTTTTCTTTTTCATTTATTCACTTCTCTTTCTTTTTTCTTTCTCTTATTTCATTTATTCCTTTTTCGTTATTCCCTTCTTTTATTTTCTTCATTCCTTTTGTTTCATTTATTCTCTTTTCTTTCTTTCTTTCTTTCTTTCTTTCTTTCTTTCTTTCTTTCTTTCTTTCTTCTTCTATGTGTATCTGTGTGCATGTGTGTGTGCAAAAATATATTGTTTGTAATATTTTCTTTGTATTTCTGTTGAAATAAATTTACAAGCACATAGTAAAAATTTCTGATTGTATTGGGATTTGAGGCTATTTATTGTTAAGAAAATACCAAAAGCAATAAAAATAAATAAATAGTTCACTGCTCAAGAAAGCAGTTTTTTTATTACTTACTTTTACAAAATGCATTTCAAGTTTGTTTACAAAGAGTTTATTTTTTATTTATTTATTTCTTTATTTTCTTTATTTATTCACAGATTCAAACATGAAATTGAACTGGCTGAGATAATTTTTTGAAAATTTAATGTTACTACTTTTTACCGAATCACTTCAAACTACTATTATATTTTTTTTATTTTTCTTCATTCATTACTAACAGTAAAATATTCATTTTTTTAAAATAAATTTTAATGACCTTTGTTTTCAAATATTCCTCCAAGTGTTGGTTCAAATTCTTTGTTTAGATATTTTTAACATGCACAACAGAAGCCTTTCATCATTAAGTTTTATATAATATTTAAAGATTAAATCTAAAAAAAATTAAGTAAATTTTCTTAAAGAAAAATTATTTGTAGCCTAAGAGTGGTCATGAATATTGAGTGAAATTGCATTTAGATAAATTCATTTACACCTTTTTAATTTTTAGATATTTATTAAAGGGGTTCTGGTTTTAAAATTACTTTTTTAAAGAGTTCAAAATATATGACAGCATTTTCTTAACATATTTATACTTCTTGCTGGTTATTTTTTTTTTCTTTTAAATTCATTTACATTTTTCTAATATTTAGACATTTAAGTGATTCTGGTTTTTAAAATTACATTTTTAAAGGATTGGAAAAATATATGTGTAATTTCTTAACTTTTTGGTTAGAATTTTAGTTGATATTAAATAAATTCATTTAACCATTATTAATATTTAGATATTTAAGGTTTTCTGGTTTTAAAATGTTTTAAAGGATTCAAAAAATATTACATCTTCTTAAAATAGTTTTGCTTCTTTCTTGTGATTAATTTTTTTCTTAAATTAATTTACACTTTTCTAATACTTAGACATTTAAATGTTTCTGGTTTTAAAGTTACTTTTTAACTATATTTAAATTGTTTGACTGTATTTTCTTAACATATTTTTGCTTTTTAGTTGGAATTAATTATTTAATTGAATGAAATGAATTTTAATATTTAGATATTTAAGTGTTTAAAATATTTTAAAGGATTCAAAAATACATTTTTCTTTTTTCTTCACTCCTTTCATTTCACTTATTCACTTTTCTTTCATTTATTCCCTTCTCTTTCTTTCTTTCTTTCTTTCTTCTTCCCTTTTCTTTTTCTTTTATTCCCTTCTCTTATTTTCTTCACTCCTTTTGTTTCATTTCTTCTTCTTCTTCTTCTTCTTCTTCTTCTTCTTCTTCTTTTTCTTCTTCTTCTTCTTCTTCTTCTGCTGCTATGTGTGTGTGTGTGTGTGTGTGTGTGTGTGTGTGTGTGTGCGCGCATGTGAATTCTTTCAAAAATACATATATCACAATGTGTCTTCGGATTCCTGTGTCACAGTTTCTGTCTTCTCTTAAAACACTTCCCAGATATTAAAATTTTTGTCCTTTGTAATGTGTGTCTACCTCCAATTTATAATATATAATTAATATATTTTTGGTTGGTATTAATTATTTATATTAATACCTTAGTAATAAATACTAATTCTTACCTTGCTTGTTATTAATATTTTATGTTAAATTAATTTATGGAGATATTTAAGTATTTCACCTTTTAAAATATATAGCTGCATTTTCTTTTTTTGTATCTTGTTTGGTATTCATTTTTATGTAGTAATTTGTTACTACATAAAAATTTCTTTAAAATTTCCAAAATGGAAATGGGTTAGGCATCATGCAAAAGAACACCTAAACTAAATTAAAATCAGAATTTTGTTTCAAAATTGATTTTTTTTTTTCATAATGAACACATCTTACACAAATTGTAATCTCGTCTATTAAATTCTTTTTATTCTAAGAGTTTGAATATTTGCTAATAAAATATATAATTTACAAATTTTATCTTGAATTTTTAAAGAGTTATTTTCAACTTTTAATGTAAATAAAACCTGTTCAAATAATTCAAAGTAGTATTGAAATAAGTTCTTATTTAAAGAGCAACATTTATTTAAGACTTGAGACTTAAAATAGTTCTGGTTTTAAAATTAAAACCTAAAATAAATTGATTTGTTTCTTTTTTTACCATAGAATTTAATTTGAAGAGAGATTAAGTTTATTGATTAAATTTCTTGGTGCAAATGTGTTTATATGGAAGTCATTTCATCTTGCATTGATGAATATACAACATTGTTTTTTCCTTTTATGAACTTGTTAACAAAAGAAGAAGATGAATTTTTGTCTGTCATTCCCTTTGGTATATACATTGAAAACTGGAAAAAATGTCAGAAGTTTTAAAAATAGGCTTTTATGCAATATGCATCAGGATAAAAAGCAAAACAAATAAAAAAAAATAATACAAATCTCAGGTGCAAAATTGCATAGCTGGAAAATAAATAAATTAAAAAAAAAAAACTCTTGGTAAACAAACTTGAAATGCATTTTGTAAAAGTAAATAACAAAAAAGGCTCTCTTAAGCAGTGGGTTATTTATTTATTTATTTTTTTACCTTTTAAAAGGTTAACGATTTCTTTTAAGTAAACTTCAACAATAACTGAACAAGCAAGAAATTCTCCTGAACTTGTACAAATTTTTTTTTCCTTTGTTTTTCAAACACTTAGTTTTTGTTTATTTTAGGATTTGCCAACTAACTTTATTTTAACAGCTTTTCAGTTGGCACTGTCATGTTAGAAAAATATTTCCCACCTGTTCCCAATCACTTCTCAACCAGGTATTTATGCTAATGAAACTACTATTAACACCTGTCTTAGTATCAATCCTGACAGATCTGCACTCAAAAATAACCTCCAATCAGTGATTAACTGGGCTGAAGAATAACTTTTAATGACTCCAAAATAAAACTGCTTTCATTTAAGCCCCATAGAGAACTTTTTCTGCTTGCCATCAGCATGACTGATGCTAACCTCCAAAAGAGCAACTTTTATTGTCATTTCTCCTCACTAAAATCTTCTCATTCTCTTCCACTCCCAGTCTTAGTGGCATTATCACCTTGATTGAGGTGAAATGATTAAAAAAATCTATTGCACACCAAAAAATTTAATCAAAAATGATTTAAAACTCTAGGTGCTAATGGCTTATCCACTGACATAAAGTTGAGTGATTGTATTAAATCAACTGCTAGGAAAGCCAGACATTTTTTCTAATCAGAATTCGTCTTGCACATTTATAAATTCTTCCTGCACATTTATAAATTAACGTATAGGAGGACTGATATTACATCTGTCAAACATTTACTGCTATAAAGAAGGACTGATATTACATCTGTCAAACATTCACTGCTATAAAGAAGGACTGATATTACATCTGTCAAACATTTACTGCTATAAAGGACTGATATTACATAACAGCTCAGTAATCTTCTTTGTTTCTAACAAAATTTTCCTGTTTCTTAATACTTCCATAACTACTCTGGTGTTCCTTCAAAATATCTTGGGATTCCTGACAAAATTCCAAGAAGGGTCTGTAATGTAATTGATCATGACCTGGCATCTCGACTTCAGTCACTTTCTCACTACCATGACATGGCTTCCCTCTCTCTTTTCTATAAATATTTACTTGGCAGTTGTCCTAACGAGCTCTCCTCCTTGGTAACTTAACTAGGAGATATATGCTCATTAGCTTCTTTTATTTCTGCCCCCACTTTCTTTAGCTTAATCCCCCATCCCCTCCCCTGTTAGGTGACAGAGATGTTAGTTCTCTGGTAGATGTGGGGTGGCGGGCACTTTTTTTCTTTTTTTTTTTAGTGTGTACTTTGTATTTGTTTTTGTGTCTGGATGAGTGTGTGGTTGAGTGAGTGTTTGATCAAATGATTGTTGTTAATTACCTAAATTTCTTGGTGCAAGTGTGTTTATATGGAAGTCATTTCATCTTGGATTGATGAATATACAACATTGTTCTTTCGTATATGCTATATAGCAGGTGTAACAGCAAAATTGTCCAAACTGTGTAACAGAAAAATTGTCCAATTGTTAGATTAAGCTTTCAACCGTTGTAACTTAGAAATGATTAAAGATATCTTACTGGAATTCTCCAAAGTTTTTATAACACTATTGGACTCTGAGCAGTAAAAATGTATAATTACTCTCCAAATTTAACAGAAGAATCGTGATAAAATTGATCATAAACAAAAATGACATGTTCATCATGTCATTAATTAAAGACCATAAGCTCATGAAGGATTGAAATAAAGTTCATATATATATATATATCATTTTCTAACTTATTCAAGATGATCTTCACTCTCTCTAACCTTCTAGTTTTCTGTCTTAGGGTAACAAGGGGCCTCACAGGTTTCATGTACAATTTCATTTTCAAGTCTTTTTTTTTTCTTTGGACTGTTTTGAAACTCCTCTCTCAGCCAAACATTCAAGATAATCTTCACTCTCTAACCTTTTTTCACTGCTCTTTGGACTGTCTTAGCTGAAACTCCTCTTTCATCTGCCAAACATCTTATGGATTGAGTTAGATCTTTTGTAATTGATCTCTTTAGTGCCAAGTTGAAATGATGATCCCTGTTCCTGTTGTGACTTCCTGATCCAGATTTCCTCTTTACTGTTCCCTCTTTTTTAAACTTATTCACCATTCTGTTGATGGTTCTTGAATGGACTTTGAAGATAGAAGCCAGAGTATGAATGTTGGTACCATTACTGAAGGCCTGGATGATCTTTTTCCTCTCACCATTGCTCATTTGGGAAAACAGTGAGGTTGATACAAAAGGATTTTAACCTGCTCTCTTTCTAGCTGAATAGCTCAAAGAATTTTTCAGTGTTTCTTATGACAAATGGTGTCAAGATGGCTAAACATCTTATCTCAAAAACCTGGAAAAAAGAAACTCAATTAGTTTAGTGGCTTTTAGATATTAAACATTTTTTTTGGATGGACAATGCTGTTACATGATTATTGTGTTACATGATTTGAATAATTTTGCTGTTACACCCGATATATTAAAAGAATGAAATTGATTGATTGTTTAGGATATCTATCGCACAAGTGAAAACAATAAGAGATGGAATCATATATTTGGTTATAGATAAGCATTATATTTGTCATGGTGGTACTTTTTTTTAAATGTCAGCTCATTCAAAAGCATTATCTTTTTTTTTTAAATTTCTGAAGAATTTTAATAGAATGCTTATGTCATTTTCTTCGAAAAGAAATTTATTTTATTTACTTAATTTTTTTTTAAATTTAAATAAATAAATTACCTAATATTAAATAATTGAACCAAAAGAAACAAATGACGTCTGGAAGAAATGCTTTTATTTTGTATCCTTTTCTCTTCATTTGTTCTAGCTTTTTTTTAATTGGAATCACCCCAAGCAAAGCAGTAATGCCACTAAAACACAAGGGGGTTACAGGGTGTGAAAGAATTTGGAACAGAAACATTAATGATGAGCAGAAAGTGATGAGAGTAATAAATTGACATTGCATTTAAATTTTTACAGATTAAAATTAGCTGAAAAACATGGAGCTGGAAGAGAGTTCCACAAGTAAGAAGTGTGAGAAAAGAAACTGTTGGCATAGTATTTATGGCTCAACTGCAAATTGATGAAATCTCGACACCAATCTAATGCTGCGCTTAAATTCAAAATCTCTAGGTACCATAGCAAAGAGCTCATCTGAACAATTGCCATGAAAGTATTTATAAAAAAGACATAGAGAGACAACTTTATGATGGTGAGAAAATGACTGGAGCTAAGCCACCAGATCAGGACCAATAATATTGCTGATTCTTCTTTGAATTTTATCAAGGGGCTCGAGGTAAATAGCAGTGGCACCAGACCATATGTTGCTGCAATATTCAAGCATGGACAAATAGATATGTAAGATAGATTCTGGAGAGAAAAATTGCCTCACCCAACATAGTTGTTATGGTCCAGATTAGGACCAAGGAAAAACAACACGAACACAAGAGTAGAAATAACGAAGGTATATTACATGAAATAATAAAAGATGTGGAAGGTGTTAGTATGACTGTCAGTCTGGTTTGGAGTGAACTATTATCGGCTTGACTCGATTCGACCCTCTCTCTTGAGAGGCGTAGTATACATAGTGTTAGGAAGAGTTCATTCTATAGTTATAGGTAAGGACCCATGACACCGTCCCCCCTCCCAAGCTTTTACCTCGCAGGGGTCTTTAATATTTTTTCCTTTTCGAATTAATCATCAAAGGCTCTGTAAATTTTCTTTTTTTGTTTGATTTCCGCGGTTCTGAAATTGCTTGAGGCCTTTGCATATTGAATGTGTCAAATATTGTGTCCATTACTTCCCCCTCTTCCTGAGGT